CTGTTTGCCTGGAGCGTCAAGAACTGGGTGCATCTTCAGTACATCCTGACCGCGATCACCAGCCTGAGCATCGTTCTCTTCTTGTAGGTATGATAGGTTATATTCATACATGCATACGACTAGACTTTAATTTATACGCTACGTGGAGTATACTATTCTGATCAAAAAGTTTTGACACTTTTCTCATAAAATCCTGAAAACTCAATATATTTTCTCCCGGTTTGTGGCAAACGCAAGCGTCGCCCTTGGCTTGGAGATCTGCCAATTTTCAAAAATCACGCGCCACAACAGCGCGAACAGCGGCTGTTCGAAGTGAAGCCGTTTTGCCCGTGCTTCGATTTCGTTAGTCACCGAAATGGAGGATCAACGAATTTGCGTCAAGTTCTGTATGAAAAACGGATTCAAGGGTGCCGGAATTTTTTGGATGTTGCAAACTGCCTACGGGGATGCCGTCATGAACCGAAGACGAGTTTTCGAGTAGTAGAAGCGTTTCAAGGAGGGTCGGGAAGAACCGCCGACAACGAGCGTTCCGGGAGACCGTTCACATCAACCACGCCTGAAAAAGTGGACAAGGTGTTGGAACTGGTGCGTGAAAACCGACGAATAACTGTCAGGGAGGTCGCCGAAGAAGCAGGGATATCATTCGGGTCGACTCAATCGATAATGAAGAACATTTTGGGAGTGAGAAGACTCAACGCCGCGTTCTCGTTCCCAAAGATTTGACTTTTGATCAAAAGAACGCCCGGAAAGAAACGGCCAGTCTCAATCTCGAAGCGACAACCGACGACCCCGAATTGCTGAAAAGGGTCATTACTGGAGACGAAACATGGATTTACGGCTTTGATTCGGAAACTACCCAACAGGCATCGGAGTGGCGCTTCAAAAATGAGCCGAGACCAAAGAAAGCGAGGAAGGCTCCCAGCAAAGTCAAGGTCATGTTGACGGTGTTCTTCGACTACCAGGGCATCGTTCATCATAAATTTCAACAACAAGGCTCTACAATAACTGCTGAATCGTACCTGGGAGTTTTGAGGCGATTGAGGGAAGCGATCAGGCAGAAACGGCCGGAGCTGTGGAGGAGCAAGTCGTGGATCCTCACCACGATAACGCGCCGGCGCACACAGCCCTCAAAATCTCGAAGTTCCTGCAGGACCACTCAACCTCTGTGTTCCCCCAACCCCCCTACAGTCCCGATTTGGCCCCCTGCGACTTCTTCCATTTTGTAAAGCTCAAAAAAAGGTTAAAGGGTCGGAAATTTCAGAGCATAAAAGAGATCAAAGTGGAATCGAAGAAGGCCATGAAAGCGACCCCGAAAACAGACTACCAGAGGTGTTTTGCCGACTGGAAAAAAGGTGGCTGAATTGTATCGAGGCCAACGGGGACTACTTTGAAGGGGACAATTTGAATTTGGTAGAATAATAAAGTTTTTTTAAAACTTATGAGCATAGTGTCGAAACTTTTTGATCAGAGTAGTATATACCCATACCTCGCTTTGCGTCGGGGTTACGTTACAAAAAAACACGACGCAAATTGAAACGACGCAAAGTGAAAATAAATTTTCTACAGAAAACTGCGATATTTTAGGAAGAAATATATATAAAAAAATTAAAGACTCGAATCCAAAACAACGCAACTTCGAAAATCTAACAACGCACAGTGAAAATCAATAAAAATTAAGCAGCGACGCAACTTCGAAAAAAAAAAAACTCAAAAACTCAAAACGAAACGACGCAAAGCGAGGTATTGGTGTATAGGTTAAAGTATTCTATAAGTCTGAATCTAGTATAGCATCTGGTATCAAAACATATATATGAAAAAGCAATATAAAAAATAAAAAATAAGTGGGTCAGGAGTTGATATTGAAAATAAAGAAGGCATATCCTGACCCCGAGCACATGTGCCTTTTAGATGGCAGAGCGCCATCTAGTGAAGCAAAAATGAACTAAACGTTTATTTAACCTGCTCCGTGATATTTGGCCAAACCAATTTCTTGATAAATCAAGAAAAGCCAGCCACGAACGCGTTTCGCACTGTTGGCGCTCGTCAGCGTGGAGTAGGCTGTATCACTGCGACCAAAAACATATATATATATAGATGGAAGTTTTACTCGGGAGGAAATTAATCTATAAAAATAAAAGTCACCTCTCCCGACAAAATAGACGCTATTGGCCTAGCAACTCTAGTGAAAAAGTCGAATTGATTTCTACATGTGTAGACATGTGGTCTACTAGCAGTAAAAGAGTCGCTTACTACCCACCATTTTTTTTTGTTTATCCCTGGTACACGTGGTACAGACATGATAATCATGGTGGGTAGAAGTAGGCGACTGCTTTTACTGTAAGTGCACATGTCTACACATGTGAAAAGCCGTTAGACTTTGCACTTACAAGTGTGTCAAGAGCCCCGTTTGGTTACTTGCACTCGCTGTTGGGGTTGAACTTTTGCATGAATCGGGGGCCATTGGAGCATTTTTTTAATAAGAAAAAGTGTTCAATGCGGGAATCGAACCCGGGTCGTAGCAGTCTAAAACCAACGGTTTAGACCATCCTTCCACCGACTCTCACTACCCACCATGAATATCATGGCATACTTGGAATAAGTGACACTACTAAGTATGGCTCTATTCAATATATATGGAGAATGGGTAACCAGAAGGGCAACGGAAGGTTACGGAGAAGGGGTGTTGATTGGGAGCAGACTTGTCTCAAATCTTCGATACGCGGATGATACTGCCCTGTTTGCAAGAAGTGAACAGGACATGGCAAACTTGCTCCTCAGAATTGGAATGATTTCAGGCGAAGTGGGATTGGAGTTGAATCGAGGCAAATGCCAGTTCTTGATGATTGATAGAGCAATACAACAACAACAAAACAACAAAGAGCTTTATTAAGACAATTTAGTCTTATACGGATTCTCCAAGCACAGAAATGTATGGTACATACAAGAATAACAGTAGTAACAACAACAAAAGTCCCTGCTATGACCTTTTGGTCTTATACAACTTCTCCACGTAGGAGAGTCCGGGCACTAGTTTTCTCAGTGGCTACTTATGCTTCAGAGTCTTGGACTATAACATCATCGCTAGAGAAGAAAATCTATGCGTTCGGGATGTATTGTTGGTGAAGAATGCTTCCTTGGACAGTGTGTAGGACATCGATACTGTCACAAATATCGATTTCAGTAGATGACCGACTTCTGTACAACGGAATTGTTTGAGATTCTTCGGTCACATCGCGCGACGCAGGGGGAATGGAGTACACCATATTGACTGTAAAGACATCTGGGCGACACATACCTGGACGCCCGCCGACACGCTTCGTGGACCAATTAAAGGAACTCACTGGCTTACTCGTCGCCGAGATGGTACAATCGAGCTCAAGACAGAGATGGTACATCGTGTTTGGGATGTAAAACGCACAGTGTGGCACAACGTTCTATCGCGATTAAAATGATATTTCATACTAAGTATGGCTAGCAGGGATGTGTTCCAGCGTGGCCCCGGAGTCCCCGCGGTGGCTACTGACCCAAGGAAGAGGTCCGGAGGCCCGTGCCGCTATCACCAAGGCCTGCAAGATGAACGGCCGGCTTACTGAGAGCCGTGAGAAGGAGATCGACGCTCTGGTCTACGCCTACTGCGAGGTAAGTCGTTGACATCTCGACATCGGGGAGTGACATCGCTGGTGTATGTCACAGGCTGACGACAAACTAAGACTCCAACCACAGTCCGGGAACTTCTCAGACCAATTCAAGACTCCAAACATTCGCAAAAGGACGCTGAGTCTCTACTTCATTTGGTACAGTAATGTCGTCACATTTTCACTAGTTAGTTAGAGGCTTTTATTGTTGTCATTGTTGTCGTGTCCAAAGAAGAGTCTCAGATGTCTCCATGCATCTCCATCACAGCAGCAGCAATGTCTAAGAGGCTTTTATTAAAATATAGAATTTACCAATATTTCAGTTGGATGAACGCCAACCTTTATAATGTTATAATACCTTGAGATAAAGGTTGGCGTTCAGCCAATTGAAATATTGATGATATTTTGATCCAATATATGCCTTTTTAATTAAAGATTTATTTATGGATTGCTCTATTTTCAAATACTTTTATATGAAGATCGAAAAACCTGTCGCAAGAAGTTTCTTTATTACAAATTACCGCGAATTTCGAGGTCTCGCCTGTTGAAGAGCAAGAGTTCGAAAGCTCGCGGTGTTTTGTAATGAAGAAACTTCTTGCGACAGAATTTTCTATCTTCATATAAAGGTATTTGAAAATTGAGCAATATATAAATAAATCTTTAATTAAAAAGGCATATATTGGATCAAATATCATCAAATATTACCAATATTTCAGTTGACTGAACGCCAACCTTTTACAAAGTTATAACACCTTGATAAAGGTTGGCATTCAGCCAACTGAAATATTGGTAAAATAAATGATATTTTGATCCAATTTATGCCTTTTTAATCAAAAATATAAAAGTATATAGCAATTTTATTATATTTGAGTTAGATCTTCTCTTTCTTCTTTCTTATCTCCACTTAATCATATTAAGGTATCAAGCTTGTAAAGCTTGCTGATGGTGTCTGCCGGGGAAGAGTAGAGCTCATCAATGGATGAGTCAATACAGTCAATAATTTGAGCTAGATACTTAGAAGGTGTTTAAAAATAGAGCATAGATGAAGAGAAATCAGGTTATATGAAGAAACCCCACCACTGATTGTGCAACTTAATATTTTGTTGGCCCATTGCCATCTATCGGAAGCAAAATTAATTCTAGTTTAAATTTTCTTATTTGTCAGGGAGTTGACCAATACCCTTAGTTCAACGTATATATAGCCTTTGCACTACATTGATTAGGGCGTACGCGTTTCGGGCTGTTTGCCCTTGTCAACGTGATGCAGGCTGTACCTCAACGGAAATATCTTTATTTACGGAGCTGCTAACCAGAATGGAATGATTTTTGAACCCCAATGGGTGCATAAAGCGAAAAAAAAAAATAGTGAGCCGGACGTGATTCGAACACGCAACCTTCTTATCTGGAGTCAGACGCGCTACCGTTGCGCTGTACCTCAACATGGAAATATCTTTATTTACGGGGCTGCTAACCAAATATATACAAAGCACTGTTGGAGGGGCCTGGGGATGGGTGGCCAGGGCCAGGTGAGGCCAGGAGAGCCGGGATGTAGAGGAGGGGGGCAGGGTGGTGATCCGCGGAGATCAGGGGGAGGCAGAGATGGGTCCAATAGTATTGAGCCCAGGGGTGACCGTGGAGAGCAGACATACCGAAATGCTTAAAGTGTATGAATTTTAAGCCCAAAATAATGTAGCAAACAGACAAGCCGCAATGCACTTTATCAAAGTACCAAGGTGCTGCACACAACCAAGGTTGTTCAAAAAGGTTAGATTCACCGGGCCTGCTGTACCTCAACGACCAAATATTTGTCTTTAGAGGTTTCCTGCGAAACAAAGAAATGGATATTTTAGACCAAATTTTCGTAAAGACGCTATTCATGTGAAAAAAAAAATGTCACACAAGCTTTTTAACATCGTGGTTCTTCGACTAGTGTAATTCTAAAGATGGTCAAGAGATAAAAAATGGTCTAATTTTCAAGCAGCGACTGTGTTCTGTATAGATTGTTCACAATAGAATTAATAAAATGGACAAAGTATAAACGTGTTGCATTGGCGCGCCATCTGTTATAGGAATTTTAAACTATTTTTAACGTGAATGCTTTTTTTTTTAATAAAACAATTTCTACTGCTTTTACTGCAATAATAAAAATATTATTTATTATAAATAATAAAATTATATTATTTTTTATCATTATAGTAAGGGTGCAGAATAAAATTGTTTTATTTAAAAATAAATATACGCACGCGCACTTCCAAAATGTTTAAATTTTCCTAATACTGTATTATGTACAAAGTATAGACATGTTGACCTAGCACGCCATCTATTGTAAGAAATTTTAACTATTTTCGACGTGCTTTCTTTTTTTTTTTAATAAAAAAAATTCTACTGCCTCTTTACTGTAATAATAAAAATAATATTTATTATGAATAATAAATATTATTGTATTTTTATCATTGAAGTAAGGTGGCTGTAGAAAATTGTTTTATTTAAAAATAAACATACATACGCACACATCCAAAATAGGTTAATTTTTCTAATATGTACAAAGAGCTCAAGAGATTATATGCAAAGTGGATTAAGTATAATTCCTAATACGAAATCAAAATTTCCAAAAGGAGATAAGGCAACTTTCAGCAAGACGTATTTTATTTTACACGGGTTCTCTCAAACTGGAATATTGCAGTCTTCTTCTTTCTTATCTCTACTCAATCATATCTCAGGGTATCAAGTTGTGACCCTTGATGGTGTCTGTTTGACAAACATCATAATTGGGTGAAGTAGAATGCGTCTACCTTTGTCATTAAGACTGGGAGCACTACTCCCCTCTGACATGAGGAACAGACAACCATGTGCAGCCACTCCTTACATGGAGTACAAACGCTGTTCATCCTGTATCCCTGGAGTCCTTACAGAGTACTATCAGCCGGGCCAGCTGAGCCCAGGTTTTATAGTGAGCTTGTTACTGCTCCTCCTCCTCCTTTTACATCCGGGCTTGGGACCGGCAAAGGTGGAGTTGAATATACTTAGCTCTGGGTTTTTACTGATTTTATTAAGTTATAAGTCAGGGGGAGCTAGAAGTTATACTCCTAGTTGCTCCTGTTGAAGGACATGTTAGCCTGAAAGCTAGAGTACTAAAATTGTACAAGAAAGTCAGCTTTATTGATTTTATGATAAGACAGAGGGAGAACGTTTATAATACAAATGAAAACATCAAAACGCGAATGTTTATTTTCACAAATAAATAGTACTTCTACTCTCCTTACTACGTTTATATTTCAGTAGTGGTTGGAAAGGTTTATTTTGCGTGTTATGCTGTTGAGTTTATAAAAAACAAAGGCTTCCAATACTAGCTTTTGGTGATTGTCCCCTATGTTATTGAAATGTACTGTTTTCAGTTTAAGTTAAAGTTGTGTCCTCTGTTATTTAGTTGTGTTTAGTAGACATTTGTTGTCGCGATTTTATACTCGATGCTCAGTGAGACGTTCTGTTCTACCTGTCTCACCTACGTAGGATGTAACACATCATGTAGATATGACAAGGTAGACAGTAGCGGAGCAAAGAAATGGGTCTATAATTGCCTTTTTGGCGATGGTAGTCATGGCCTAAGTGATATTGTATGAATATAATATTGATAATAGTTACTGCCGAAATATAAGTTAATTATAAAGCCCTAACGAGCTATACTATACATAATAAATTAAAGCACGAATGTTTCTTTTCACGCATAAAACAAACTTCTACTGAAAAATATTGAGAGGGCATGGATCATCAGTGGCGAACCCTCACAGCGGTTATGCCAATTTATTCTAATATATCGCTTTTTTAGAGCTCTAATACTGAATTGGACGATTCTGCTTATATATGCTACACTGAAGAGTAGAATTATAGATATGGCATTCAAGCAAACTGTGGAAATAAGCTTTTAGAACAGTAGAATTAAATATAAATATTTGCATCGAGCAATGCTCTTACGCAAACAATGAGGACAAGGCAAGTTAGGCAATAATCAATTATAAGGCAATAACGCGCCATTTTAAAGCAGGGATCTTTATTTTACACGTACACAGATTTATTAAGACCACCGATCTTATACGGATTCTCACCACAGGAAGGAAGCATAGATGGAGCTCCTATACTCCAGGCAGCGCAGAACCCAACTGTTTGTTTCTTTTACACCTGAAATATAAGTGTTGACTATAAATTTTTGTAGGATGTGAGATCTAAGTATTTGGCTACGGTAGAGTAAGGGATTACACAATGAATTGTTTGGTTTATGGGTAGGTTATAGGACTGTAAAAATGCTTTAGTTATGAAGGATAGAATATAACCTGATGAGTTGAGGTACCTGATGATGTATTGGTTGTTTGGAAGCCTTAAAGAGAGGCAAAGAATAGTGGGTATGATCCCGATTTGAGATGGTTATCAAAACGCTAATTTTAAAACTGAAGTGAGAGGTCATTTAGGTGCATTTTTGAGAGGCACAATTTTTCTTCAAATTGATTTCTGAAATTTGGATCTGTTTTGTATGATCAGAATATCCAAGAACTGAATAACGTGATTTTTTTTCTATTTCTAGATTGTTAAAACTATTTTATAGATCCTTTTCTTTTGTACATAGAATGAAGATCTTAGGTGAAGGGAGACAACGAGCAAGACATCTATATCTATAGATAGCCCCAGCTTGGACCGACCGAGGGCAAAGGTCGGCGTGGGCGGAGACGACGGAGCGTCATGTTACATTCCTTTTTGGTCAGATGGCAGGATTCCCTTGTTAGAAGCGGAGGGGAAAGTTGAGTTCCCTTGCCAGACGGAAAGACGTCTAAAAGCTATCCTGCAAGCAGCGTCTTGTGGAAGGAAAGACGTCAAGCTATCCTGCAAGCAGCGTCTTGTGGAAGGAAAGACGTCAAGCTATCCTGCAAGCAGCGTCTTGTGGAAGGAAAGACGTCAAGCTATCCTGCAAGCAGCGTCTTGTGGACGGAGAGAACGCATTGGAGTATCCCTCAAGCAGCAGCTTGAGAGCGGAAAAGACACTTAGACAACCAACGAGTCGCGACAATTGGACATCGCACAAGACAAGCCAAGCCAAGCCAAGCCTGCGACGGTGCTGCCACGAGGTACTGTGTAAACAAACGCTCGACACCCCCCCGCCATTTATTTTTATCTCCCTTCCCTGAGATTAGTTAATTTTTTTACTTTCTTTTTTGCTTAACCTTGTTTATTTTTTTATACATAATTCTATAGATATAAGTATAATTTAGCTTAACCTTTTTCTTGTTTTTTTTTACCCTTAATTCTTTATATAAGTATAATAGTTTTTATCCCTTTTGTTTTTTACTTTAAAATAAAACCTTTTGTTATACTGTGTTTCTGTGCATTTATTTCCCCCATTGTTTTTCCTTTCAATCGATCACCCTTTATTTTTTTTTTTAAACGAACACGAACATTTTGGTGAGCCGGACGTGATCGATTTTAAGGAAATATGGAGGAAATGGATGCACTTAAAAAGCGCAGAAAAGCCATAAGAGGTACTTTCACTAGAATTATCAATGAAATAAATGGGGAATTTGAAAAGTCTCAAATTGATAGGAATGATATTTATTCTAAGTTTAATAGACTAGAGTCTTATTACACGAAACTTGTAGATCTAAACGAAAAATATCAGGCTTTATTGGTAGTGAAAGAAGGGATTACAGAGGAAAGTATTGATAGGGAATGGCAAGAATGCGATAAATATGAAGAGGAAAAGTTTGATATTCAACAGAAAGTCAGTGTATTACGGAATCCCGATAAAGAAGAAACAATCCCGATTGCTAGCGAGGACACTGTAATAAATGTGAAATTACCAGAGTTAGCCCTAAAAAGCTATGATGGCTCTCTGGAATGTTGGTTGTCTTGGTGGGCGCAGTTTTCGAAAATTCACGAAAATAAGAATTTATCCGATAGCGACCGGTTTTTATATTTGCGTCAAGCAATTGTACCAAATTCAGAAGCCTATCGTGTTGTAGCAAGCTATCCCGTTACAGGCGCCAACTATGCTTTGGCAGTACAAGCCCTACAGGAGCGATTCGGTGACCCGAATATACTGACAGAACTATATGTCAGACGTCTATTGAATTCGGTTATATCTAATGTAAAGAAAGAAAATAGAAATTTAAGCAGTCTGTACGACGAACTGAGCAGTCACCTCCGGTCGTTAGAGACATTGGGCATTGATCCCCAGTTGTCGGGTATTTTTTTATATCCTCTTGTCGAGTCTTCATTACCTTCGGATATTTTGAAAATATGGCACAGGCATCCTTCTTCGGGTTATGGTATGGAGTTAGCAAAACGGGAAGAGTCAGATAAAGGGGTTGGAGGAGCTCAAGAAAGGCTAAGGTTATTATTGGACTTTCTAAAAGCCGAAGTAAGGAGTGCTCAACGGCTGAAATTTGTGGAAAA